TTATTTTAATCTCAAATTGCTCTGTTTTCTTCTCTCCTTTATGTACACCTCATAAAACATCTCAATTACCATTTTTCAGAAGCTGTAAATGTTTTAGGTGCTAAACCTCTTGTGATTGTTGCTAATTGTTTTCTTTCCTTACATAGACATTACCACCAAAGTTGATACTATAACGTGCATGCGGTAAATTGAACTCATCCAGGAGAATCATTTTCAATTATGATATTTGTGTATGTCCAGCCCAAACTTGTTTCTAATAGTTGTGGATAGAGTTGGGAAGGATTAGAACCCATGCCAGGGTTTTATTGCTATCCAGAGTTCCGTTAGAGTGGCAGCTCCTCACTTACTACCACGTTGACAACAGTTTAAGCAGAAAGGATATGAGTAAAAATCTTCAACAGCAAGGCAGACAAAAACAAAAATACCTTGCTGTAAATTTTCCCTCACTTCCTGTCTGGCACAAACATTGTCACTGTGACAGCACGTGAGAGGAAATCCCTCTAACAGTGTGATAGATAACAGTAAAAGTCCAACAGGGGAATCCTCCTCCACTCTATCAAAAAGGAAAAAAGTTTAGGCCGGACATATAATTTACCTATTTACAGGAACGAAAATACTGCAAGTATACAGTTTAGGGAATTGACCCCAATAGGACTTACTAATCAGTGGCTTCAATTTACACAATTCTTTTTTTTGTTAGCTGAGTTTGTATTACATGTTCTAGCATATGAAAATGTTAAGTTAACAATTTTTCAAGTAACTTTTGGGATTGAAACTACTGTGTTAATTAACAGTTAGTAGTGAGCTACCTCAAAGGATGTCACCAATTTACCTGTGCTATAGAAAATGATAGCTGGGGAATGATTGGTTTCTGTGCCCAATACAAACAGTACTTATGTGAGCCGTAAGAGCCATTGAAATGAATGAAGAATTCTGCATTTGAGTGCTTATTGCACTTTTAGTTGCTATAGCATCATTTGGAGAACAAATTCTATATTCACCTCCAAAATATGCTCTAAAAATATTATAACTATCTGTTTCTTATCATAAAGCTGTTCTCCTTACACAAGCAGGACCAAGTCTTAAATTTGTAATTCAATTATAGGTTAATGAAGCATTGTAAGCACTATTTATAACTGCATTTTTAAAAAGTCACAAGCCAATTATGCAAAATGTCTATATAACTTTCTTCACCTACCAATGTAAATAGATTTAACCTTTATATTAATTACTTGTTCATGTAGAGCACTGCTTTCAATAATGCAGCATTTCCTGTAATAGCTTTATTTTTCAAAGACATGACTTTTTCCAAATTTACACAACTTTAATGAAAAAATTAACCCGTTGATATGCTTACTGCTTGTTACAGGTTAAATACACTGTGCTTTTTTAAATAAGTAAATGTGATTAGGCAATTATTATGACATTGCTGTAACAGTTAGTAATAAGGTAAAGAGCAGATAACCATATCAGCCACTGATATGATTGCTTGCAACTAATTAATAGAGAAGCATGGTCACTATGGGTTTCTATGTGCAGATTGTTTCTTTAAACTGCCATATACACTGCTTGGGCAAAAAGAAAAGTCGTACACTCTAATATTTATTTGGACCTCCTTTAGCTTTGATTACGGTAGGCAGCTGATTCAGGTAGGCAGCTGATCTCATTTTCTGGGGACATAACATATGAAACATATTAATCACTGCAGTACAGTAATTATCCAATGGAAGGCTCTTGCCTATTTGCTTAACTAAATCCTGGTGGTAAGTTTCTTTTTTGGGCAGGCAGTGTATGACCCCAAATGTATGTATGGGTATAGTGGCACTTCACTCTTTTTAAAGGTAGTTATACTTGGGCCTTACAGTAAGGACAATTTTGAGCATTTGTATGTGTGCATCTGTGAGGGTGTACAAATTGGATTAGGCCTCCTTCCCACCAGGCACAGTGCGTTCTGGCCTGATTTGGGCTGGAACGCACTGCATCGCATTGCGGACGGCTCACTATGTTGTGGGGCTTGGCAATCCATTAAAGTGAATGGCAGTGTAGCCACACCCTCAGGCCGCAATGCGATCGGCGCATGGGAACACAAGGCATATCAATGCCTGCGGTCCGGTCTGCTCCGAACATGCTGCAAGCACAGGCTAATAAATTCATTGACTATTTATACACAGGCACTAATTGCAATTTAAAACGCCACAGATGTGGGAAATTAACTTTTTTAATTTCCTTTTTAACCCAGGTGTGTCTGTAACAAAGCAAAACATTCAGGGTATGGAAACTTTGGATCAGGGCCGTTTGGGTGACTTTTGTTATAATTCTGATTTAAAAATGAGCCAAACAACTATGTGATAATAAATGGCGTCATATGAACACTATCCTTTATCCCTTAAAAGCACATTTCATCAATGTAGTTCAAATTGTTTATTATCTGGTTATAGTATTTATGAGAATATACATAGAAGCATTTAGTCTTTTCCCCATGTTTCATAAATGACTTTTTGGCCTCATACTTTGCTTTGTTGTTTTGCCTGCTGTGGCTTTATTCTTAAAAGCTGAATGAAACATAAGTCTGAAGGACTACTCCTCTTTTATTATGTTCCGGCTTAATGTATCTGCTATTTTCTCTGCCGCTGCATGTAGCTTGGTTAAGAGTAAATAAGCTGTGCACCAAATGATAAAAAAAAGTAGCAACAGTTATTTGCTACCTTCATAATGCAGAGCAGTTATGCCAATAACTTCAAAGCTAATAAATCCTGTCTGAAATACACTCATTTTATGTTACTGTAGAATTTTTATATTTGTCTGTAACCAGAAGGTGAAGACACTGTTAAAAAATTGTCAGGTTTGTCCAAGATTGTGCGTAAAATACTCATCCATCACTGTGAGCCTCTGGTCAGAAAATGACAATGCAGTAAATATCTTCAGCAACCACCTTTTAATGTACAAGCTGCTTTCAGTAGGAATCTTCAGCACTCACATAAACCACACTGTCATGAGTGACTGCCTGTGCTCCAAAGTCATTACTATTGAGATGATAGGACATCTTTCAGCAGATAACGGAAAAACTTTAAATGTCATCCCAAGTTTTTGAAGCCATGCACAATCCCCTAGTTCAAGGTTGCCTGAATATTGAATTTACCTGAATTTAGAAGGCTGCATATCTACAGAGGGATCTTGCATGAGAAGGGAAACTGGGTTTGTAAAGTCAGTCTCTTAAAGAACTAGCAAAGTAAAATTTCTGCTAGAAACATTGCATGTGTGGGTAAAAGTTTAATTATCTGCACAAAACATCATATAGGGATTGCTTACATACTATTTTTTTTAACAACAATCTTCTATACTTTTTAATACTAGTCTCCTAATCATTTACTTGATATATTTATTTATATGCGGTATTATTTTTAATGTAGTATGAGAGTATTGTTTGGCCATTTATAAACAACTGTGTTAGTTGCAGTATTAGCCCATCAAAATAGAAATGTGGGAGTTGCCATTGCTGACTTGTTTTTAAAGGTGAACTTTACAGGGCTTGTATCCATATTGTTGCATCACTACCTGGCTATTCTCTCACCCTGCTAATGTAAGTGCATGCCTATCAGATGCCCCAACATTTCATTGGCTAGTCGGTGCAAGGATGTCAGCTTCTGAGCTTGCACCTGAAAAAAACACAGCAGCAAAAGCAGCCCTCATGTTTCTACTCTGGAAGGTTCTGACAATCCTCTTCAGGTGACTTATATACATTACAAGGATTGTGTCAGACTCCACTGCTGAGTTTTACCTCAATATATTCTATGGAACTGAGTGCAAATTTTAGTACAGAATATCCCCAATGTTGGAATGATTACTAGAAAATACCATTAGATTGTTTTGGCTTTTAGAGAAAATCGCCTATGGCTGCAGATTGAGAAGGAAAATTTCAATTGAATTGAAGGAAACCTGTTTTGGTATAAATGTAGTAATGCTATCTAAGCTTTGTAAAAATGCTAGTTGGCTGCTTGTCACGTTGACCCATTTGACTTTTATACATTCGTAATAGTCATTAATATCAAGTACATTAAATTGTACAGATAAGCAATTTTGACTTTCCTAATCTGCATTGCAGCCAGCCAACTAGCATTGTCAGTAGAGGTCAGCAATGACAGCCCCATATTTCTTGATGGGTTCATGTTATATAAAAAAATGTCTTCTGCAGCAAACATATGTTATATCATTCTGCTTACTGAGTGACAACTTGCAGTGCTGTAATATAGGTTTACTGGACAGGAGGTCAGTTGTGTGTCAGAAAATATTGTTCTTCAGGCTTTCCACAATAGCACATTTGTTCTTACTATATTAAGTTCTAGCAGTTTTGTGTATTTCATATATACCTTCTATGATTGCTACTGAAAAAGTAGTTTTTTATAAAATGACGTGTATTTGTCCCTTTCAGAATCAGCCATCTTTTTTTCACCCATGTAATACATTGACAAAGTTTTAATAGTAGCCTTCTAAAATGCAGATCACAACACAGTGGCGGAGATTTCTTGGTAACATTAAACTGCAATGCTGCTACAATTCCTGATGTAAAGTTTCCTCCCAACAGCCGGTTTATAACCAGAAACACAAGCTTGCTTATTCTTTCTAATGGATGCAAACGGAAATAAAATATATTTACTCCTGACCCGATCTCTTTATCAAAGCCATTTTTATGTAGAAATGCAAATTACTCTGATAAAGATGTATTACCAACATCAATATCCTCCCCTCTTGGGCCAAATCAGCTATAAACAACTACTTTACAAAACAGCTTCTTTCTAGAGACTCTTCTTTAATACCAGTATATATTTTCGTGTGTGCCTTTTTTTTCCTTTATGCTTATGCATGTAAAGCAATTTTTTTGTTTTTCTGCTGTGTGTATAAATTACACATTCAATGATAACTGAATGGAAAATCTAATGCTTTGTATGCCCAAAATATAATTCACTTCAGTAACTTTGTTTTTCTTTTTGTGATTTCCATAGAGAACCAAAAGCCACAATTTGAGAGATCACGTTCACGACCAAATCTCCACTCTAATGCAGCAAGAGCTCCAGTTGCTAAGGAACTCAGTTATGAGTTGGAATCTCTTTCGTCAACAGTAAAAAGCAAGGTTTCAGCTAGGAAAGAAGTGTGCAGTTCAGAAGGTCACAAAGAAAAAGGGCAAGGCCATAGCTCTGCAGCCAAAGCAGAGTCTATTCCTGAAGTGGAAGCTCTCCTTGCAAGATTGCGTGCTCTATGATTTCAAAAGAGTGTTCCATGTTGATTTAATCAAAAGGTTTTGTCAAAAACAAGATGTAATTTAAACCTCCAGCAAGTAAAATCTGTGTCTCTGGCTACACTGCTATGAATTAATTTTGTATTTACTCGCTGCTATATTTGTAGCTACAATCTTAAACCAGCCATGGACATTAGATGGAGGTTGGCCATTTGGTATCCATCTCACAACTGAAAGTCTGTTCCCTGACACCCATGTATATGTATTCAATGATATTGTTGCTCATCTGATCTGAGGTATTAGTCTATAGCCTGAAGATTTCTAAACCAAATGATGGACCCTCTGACCATGCAGATATTCCTAGCTCTCTATGATCAGACTTCTCCCCAAAAACTCCAGAAATGCAGTTAATAGTTAAACGCCATCTACTCTCATTGATTTCTAATTACTCTGTCATGGACACTAGATTTCACAGTACTTTAAAACTGATTATATGATAAAAGAAATCCATGAGCATTGGTTATCTTCAGTTAAAACCACATGCCAAAATGATCAGTAGATTCAGAGATAAAAGCACCTAAAATATTATGCAAATCTTGACTTTTTCCTGAGAAGTCAAGGTTGGTCCAGCTCCTAGGTCCCCTATTTGGTTATTTATGTGTGATGTAAGATGATAATTGCCAATAAGGTGACCCTAAAGACCGGGGAGAGGAGTCTAGCTTTCTCAGGACAAGTTGAATTGGCATAGAACTTGAGCTTCTTATACCTCTGGACCTGCTGAAATGTGCTTGTGCACATTTTTTTCCCAGTTTGAACTGAACCTATTTGTTACCGGTTCACTTTAACACTGCAAGCTAAAGGATTCAGTTTAAATTGTCCTATTTATTTTGTAGCTGGCCATGATGGTGTGTAGTGGACTATTCTACACAATCTTACATTCAATTCCTTTGAACATGGAGTCGAGAAGAGGGAAATTACTTTCAGTAGGGAATGTTATAGCATTTCTTTATTTCTCATCAGCAGAATGAAAACAAAGTTTGATGTTTTATGCCATGGGTCTTGTTTTTGCTTGCACAAAGTCTTAAAAGTTAATGAAAAATCTCATTCTTTTATAGTGGAGATTTGTTCTCTCTTGCATTTATTCTCCAGTATATTTAACTCTACTATAACTATGTTACCAGATAGATAAATCATGAAATGTATTAACTGTGCAAATCAATGAGAGTGCAATCGTCTTGAAAAGTTTTCTAGGCAACCACAGAAAACATGCCTTTCTTTAAAGGAGAGCAGGCATTACATGGTGATATATTCAATCCATTATCAGACAGTAAAAATAGCCTTATAGCTCAACCTTAATGACTAATTTGATTTTATAAGGCAGGATAGGGACATAGTTATATTATTTCTGCAACTTACCTTTCTTTGTGCATATGCAGACTTTCGTATCCATTCCGTCCCAACCTGAAATGTACAAGTAGTGTAAACTGATGGAATATTGTGTGTGAATATTCTATAAACGACTAAAGAGTTGTATACACAGGTTATGTTTGGTACATAATGAGTTCTCTTTGTTGTTTTTTTTTCACTGGCCTGCATTTGCAGTACTAGATGTGTCGGAGTGGAGTTATACTTTAAATGGATGTTGGCAAACGGCTTGCCTTAGTAAAAAATGAAAACAAAACTGACATTTACTTTACGCGTGTAGCTGCTAATGTGTTACCAATAGAGGACAATCATTTCTCTGTACATTATTAAATATTGTAGGAGCAGTATGTGCAACATCTAGAATATCAAATGTACAATATTAGCCTCTGCTTTACATGCACATCTATATTTATTTATGCAATCTTAAAAATTCTTCATAAATCCCAAAGTATTCTTCTTTATATAAAAACACTGTTTTTTTATGCATGTGCTCAAAGCGATCGTCTTTGAACACACATTTGTGTGTCAAGTCTGTATGTCTGTCCTCTGGCTTTTATTACAACACGATGGCCTTAATGAAGCAGGGAGACTGAAATAAAAGAGCTCCATGCAGAGAAGTGTTACTGTCATTGCAATGCTGGACATCTGTTTACAGTGTATGAGGAGGAACATGCTGACCTTCTCTGCCATGAGCTCAAAGCCAACAAAATGTCACTCTTGGCAAGTCACTACATAGAAGAGCACCACAGTTCTGGGCGAAGACATGCTTGGTTTATATTTTTATGCATGTGACTGTAAAATCCCCTGGCTTCCTTTGAGGCATATCTTTCATGTATACACATCAGCCTGAGTCTTATATTTGTTATTCTTTCTTCACGTTCATATTTAAACTACCACAGTGCTTTATATTCAATAAACACTACGTGTGTATTACTGAAAAGCCATTAAAGTTGCAAATACCTCGCACAGTTCAGCTACTGTCCACCTCTCCTAATCTTCAAGCATATGACATGGTTGCATCATGCTCTTTTCGAGAACAACAAGAGCACAGATAATGGGCACATGGGTCACATTTAATTGATGGCTGTTGCCAGTTTTGCTCAGGGTATTATTTCACTAGAAATGAGGCCTTGTGATTTTATCTATGCAAAGCTAATAAATATAACTTAGCACTGTGACACTGTGCCTGATCATATTAAGAAAACACTGTTCTGCAAGCTTCATGGAAATGAACCCGTTCTCAGGTTTGGTTAATTGTTCCAGCTGTCCTCGAAAACTTGTGGGTGTTTGTTATTTCTTAAGCAAGTTTATGTTCTGTTTGCATGGAGACAACTATTGTAAAAAGCAATGCAAAATTAAAAACATATGTTTGATAACGGTTTTCTGTGCTTTGTGTTTGTTACTACAGAGATGAATTTTACAAAGGCAATTGTCCTCGTTTCCCCACAGGAAAGGGAACATTCATTTCATTGAGTGTGAAGCTGAGTTTAACTTCCCTTAAGTCAGGGAGAAAAAGCTGTGAAGATTGAAACCTGTTCTACTTTGTTCCCATCAGGATTTTTTTTAAAGTCTGGCTTTACACCTATGTCTTCAGCATGTGTTATAGCTATCAATTTTGAATAACACCCCAAAGCACAACTACAGTAACTGGCAATGATGCAGCACACTACAACACACATGCCATCTATTGTTGTGCATTGAAAATAAATGCTTCATTAATGCTTACACGCATGTGGTATCACACCACAACAGATTGTTATAGTAATAGGGGGCCCTTCCAGCCATTACTGTGTGCTCTAGCCCTCCCCATTCTATTTTGAGTTATTCTCTTTAATCTTTCTTGACAAGACATGGGAAATTCAGTGGTACAACTAAAGTGGTAATGGTGAGAGTTACAGACATTACTCACTAGATTCCTGTATATATCTATTACCTCTTACTGCTGTAAATTGGTATAATCCATTCAAACATACTCAGGAATCACTCGTATTGCTTGGTTCAGGCAACACAGTCAGTTACATGTTGCTAACATTCTTCTGCTTTTTGTGTCACTATTCTGTCTGGGAGACAAATGGGTAAAATACAATGCTGGGGTTTTTTCTTTGCAGTCTTCTTTACAGTTTTTCTTTAACATTAAGTGATGTAAGTGGTGAAAAGCACCATTTCACATTAAACACTATTTATGTATACACTGATAGTGTATCTTATTGTCAGTATAATTACAGAAAAACCAACCACCCTTCTGCTAAAAAATAGATAACCAATGTTTATGGAAAAACCATGCCATTACACATAGTGATGATAGCAGTCTTGCTCCCACTGTCTCTTGGGGTAGACGGCCTCCAAAGGTAGTTCTTATATGGAGGGAGTATCCACACAGCATTTGAAGCAAAACCATGCCTTGCGAATGTAGGACAAAGCAAAACGTTTGTTGTATTGCCCCCCTTCCTAGCACCACACACATTTCTTTACCCTTCTGCCACTCCTCCCACACTCACAAGACTGGCAAAACATGGTGTCTCTTTCTATCGCTCTCTTTTCCTCTCTATCCAGGTTTCTACCACAAGCAGTGAGAGATCCTTGTGCAGAAAGCTCCTTCCTCTGTAAAGGATAACTTCAACAGTGGCATAATGTTACCTAATTAGACCAGCATCTTAGGAGCACACAACACCCTTTCATAGCAAAACTGGCTTTTCTAGTGCTTGTCTGACAACACACATGTGGAAGAAATGCAGAACTACGAGCTGGTGTTTCCCCCTCAGTATGACACAACTTTCAGTATTGGGTGGCCACATTTAAAGCAACTCCCCCCACCCCCGCATCCCTTTAAATCAGAACTAGCAAAGGAGACAAAATATTCTCACTGTCTAATTGAAGGTGAAGAACTATTTTAAGTATTTACAGCTTTCCCAGTGTGTGAAATGGTGACGAGCATTTTTACAATAGCTGTTTTCTCAGCGTGCACTCTCCAGGATGTCATCTTTTCCTGGTATCACTTGCTGAGCCTGTGACATGGAACATGTATGCAGACCTGGAATTCCAGCTTTATTGGCTTCATACTTGTTTTGTGTCAGTGACACAAAGGTAATGAGTAATGCAGTGCAGAAGAAGAAAGTGTTGGACACGGCATGTAGAAGTCCAGTACGTATTTCCATTAACCTTTTTTTGCTGCCTGAGCTTTTTTTTTTGCAAACGTTACAATTTGCATTTTGTTAATGAAAACACATTAAAACAAATCTGGAGCATTACAGCCCATGAGCTTCTTTCTTTCATTTTTAAATCTTAACCGAACAAACTAAAGAGAGAAGCTGATTGGTTGCCATGGCAACTGCTCCAGATTCTTTCTGTTACATTTGTTATATATCTCCCCTATATATTTTTTGAAAGCAAAAGACCCAATAAATAAAATGTCAGTTGCAAATTATTACATCAGAATATTAGCGCAATTATCTATCAAACACCTACAGTATGTTCAGTAAAAAAATACCATCTAATTTATATTATTGTGTATTAAGGGACACAGGATACAATTGATGTTATACTGCTGCCTTCAGGAAATATTGGACACTTTCAAAACAAAATAGTCTTTGGCCAGCCAATAATAACCCCTCCCACAACATCTTGATCGTACATTACAGGATGCAGGATAGTAATAAAATGGTAAAGGCCACTGCCATAGTTTTATCCTCACAGATTGCCTTTAAAGATTGTTGAATACAAATTGTAACGAGGATGCTAGCAATACATTGTTACA